ATATAAAAAAATATTAATTATTATTTGAATTTTTAAAGTTTTTATTTGATTCATTTATGACAAATACCATTATTAGAAGTGTTTGAATTTATTTGAAATAACTTATATTTTTTTACAAAAATATTTATTAAATTATTATAAATTAGAATAGTTTAAAAACATTTTATTAACGATTTGATACCGATACAAATTATTTTTCGTAAGAAAATGCTAACATGTTTCTATACGCGATCCCAAGCACCCCCTAAGTTGATTGCGTTTCATTACTAAAGGAGTGTGCAATTGCAAGCTCAAGAAAATCCATCCAGCAGAGATTAGATCTTTGTTCCTTCTGCAAAATCGCAACGTAAAGATTTGGGCCATTTCTATCAGAAGTTGCGTGTTCGTTGTATCATCGTCTGCAAACAGTAATGGTGTGGGAAGTTTTCTTGTGGGTCATCTTCTTCATCATCATCATGGCCCTCATCGCCTCTAATCTCTATCAGGTATCACATCATTACAATCTCTCTCATTCCAATTCGTCATACATATGAATAGTGATCACATGTGCTCATTTCGATCGCCATGAGAACTGTTGAAATTCAGGTTAGGGTTTTGATTTTCACCTCTACCGCTTGGCTTCCTGATTAGGGTATGTGTTTGTTCCTCTTTCTAGTGCTCTAATTGTGTGTTGCGACTTGCGAGAATCAAACTTTTTGTGGAATCCATACTTCTCATCCCATAAAATTTGCAACATTTCTCAATTAAAAAATTGCATCTCTCCCTTTATTTGGGAAAATAAAGCTAAATTAAGTCATTTGTTCAACCTATTGATGGTATTGATTTGGGCCAAGTGATTGTTAGTAGAAACCTAGAATGGATGTTTCGGATTAGTCATGGGAGCATGTGTTATTGAAGTAGAATTTGTTTCCTCATATTCAAGTTATACCAGTTGATCGGTCACTTTGATTTGAATAAATTTCATCACAGCTTCTGGTGCTCAATTTCTTGGAACAAAACTCACTTAAAGTGGGAGCATGTCATCTTTTCTTGATGTATAAAAAGTAAATAAGCACTTAAGGAATATGATACAAGACGAAGGACCGTGTGAGAATAGGAGTTAAAGATGAGAAGTGTAAGAAGGCAGTTGCACCCTTGATCAGTTTTAATTAGTGTTGATCTAATGGTTCTAATTAAGTCCCAAAATAACCCGTGAATTGGCTTAGAAGGGTATTTTTAATGGATCTTCAATTAAGATTGATCTAAGGGTGGAGATCCCTTCTTACCCTTCTAAAAATAACTACTATTCTTGCTAGAAACCAACTCTATGAGAGCCTCAAAGTGGGAGCATATCATCTTTCCTTTGAAACTATTGATCCAAGTGTTGAGCACGTCGATATTTTGTGCTAGTCAAAGGCAGCGATTCAGTATGAAGTGTGGAATAGAGTGATTTTGAGATGAGAATAAAAAAACTAGTTTTCCAAGATGCAGAGGGAGAGTGCCTATGATTTCTTGAGCACCACAACCAAGTTAACTAATGGCATCTCCCTAAAGGTTTGACTACATAATCAAATAGAGCTCTCAAAGCTTAGTTCAGTCATCTAATAATCAATTTTGAAAATTATATAATAAACTTTAGTTCAGTCACCTATAGATAATAAATTAACAATAATTATACTAACAGTAAGAAATCAATACAGTAGCGTTTAGTACGGAGACGTGACTAGATTGGATGTGGCCAGACTAGACTGGACTTGACAATAGTACAAGACTTTACAGGACAAGTGGTATGTCAGGTGTTTGGTATGAGTAAGGTTGGATAGGACAAAACTAGACAAAGTTGCCCCTAAAAATTGTTTGATGATTTTATATTATCATATAATAGTTGTAAATGACATAAATCAAGTAAATATTTAAATAGTTTAATTTATAAACATTTTTTCACAATTTTCATATATATATATATATATATAATACATACGTATGTAATAGTACCAAATTTGAATGAAAAATTTGATATAATTGATGGGAGTTAGAAAAAACCTCGCTCTTAATTTATAAACTATATTTTATTCGGTTTGGAAGATCCTTATGAACTGATAGAGGCTCGGTGGAGGTTGTTGCAGCGAAAATGGCGGTGGGGATAAAGGCGTTGGTGACTGGTGGACGACGGTGACTGTGGAGGATGAATATGATGAATCGTGGTAGAGGTGGTGGTGGTAGCCGATGGTGGGGTGGTGGCAGTAGTAGTGGTGTTGTTGGAGAATAACTGTGAAGAAGGATCTAAAGATGGTGGACAAGAGGCCCGGTGGAGGTTGTTGCAACGACAACGGTAGTGAAGGTGGAGGCGGTGGTGGTTGGTGAATGACAGTGATTATGGAAGATGTGAAGATGGTAGACAATGATGGTGGTGGCGTTCGACAGTGGTGGAGGAGGTAGTTGTGGCCGATGTTTTGAAGGTAGAGGTGGTGATAAGTGGTGGTAGTGATTATGGTGGAGGTGGCCAACAGTGGTTGTGGAGGTGGGCGACGAGGTTGTAGTAGTGGTGGTCGTTGGTGGCTGCCCAATGGCTGGTGATGGTTGATGTTTGCCAAGCCTGTTGTGTAAAAACAAACTTTAACAAACCAAAAACAAATGAATAGGGATGCAAGTATACACCTCTAGACACTATCGTTTTCACAAGTAATAAAATGGTAAGAACCAACTATCGATCAACAGGGAAGGTAGACTAGAAATCTCAAGAAAGTCAAACTTTATAAAAGTCAAACTTTCTATCAATTTAGTAGCCAATACTTAATATAGATTTATTGGACTTGTAGATTGTGTGCCTATCCGATTTGGAGGCTGACTATATGAACCCGTATGAATCATCATCGCGCATTAATGCTGTGGTTGTCCCTGAAATGGTTCTCCATGGTTTATGCTCTGCTCTTCTTCTTGTGACGGGCTACTGGTTCATGTTCCTTCTTACACTTCCGATCACTATCTATAATTCCATGTTGTAAGTGTCTTCTTGCTAATTTACCGACAATTTTCTATGTGACATTTGAATGAAATACAAATAATGTCAAATCACCCCATTGTTGTACCCTTTGTACTTACGACCCACCCCAGACCCTACTTTTGAGTGGGATATACTGGTTTGGTTTAACATCGTGCTTTCTTGAGCTTCTGATATTCCCTCTCAGTTTACATTCTTCTTCTTTCATCCTTTTCAGATACATGAATCGACAACATCTTATAGATGTAACTGAAGTTTTCAGATATGTCGATGCTGAAAAAAAGTATCGGATTGCCAAACTGGCCTTGTACTTATTTCTCTTTGTCCTAGTGGTTATCAGGTTAGTTGTTCGTTTCCGTTGCTTAGATGGTACTCCTGTTCGTTTCAAAAGCTAGAGATGCGGTTTTGACTTTTATAGTCAAACAACTTATTTTTCAAGAATTTTAAAAAGGGCAGATGCATCAGAATGCGACGAAATTTGCTTTAGGGGCCGTTTACCAAATGCTTATCGACAAGAGGCACCACCATTTTTTACCTTGTCGGGTAACCATTTTGGCCATCAAAATGGAATGTTTGTAAGCGTCTCTTACCCGTTAAGTGCTAACCAGGTGAGAGTTCTCTCCCTCACTTAATGGGTAAGAACCTTGATTATTACCATGTCTCTTCCCGGGTAAGATTATCGGTCCTTGCCATGCTCACCCGGTAAGCGTTTGGTAAACGACCCCTTAGTTCTTGTTTATTCTAATGAAGTTTTTTCCCCAAATCAATGTAACATAATTTCAAATTTTCCTATTTTGTACCCATTTTGAGCGATAATTCGCTGATCTTGTAACATTTGATGACGTACATATCAAGTTTACCGTCCACTTTGCCATAAACATATTGTAAACGGGTATCCTCATCATCAACATGTTACCGGTCAAAATAGGTACAAGATTGGAAAATCGAAACATTGTTGCATCGAAATAAAAAAGAAGTTCTCGTTACACTAAATAGGAACTAAAAGCTTTGTTGGCTTTTGATGCATTTGATAAGATTTACGGAAAACAAGCGTAGAATACGATTTACGATCATATTTTCAACATAAACTCCGCTTGTTTGACTTCAAAAACTCGAAAAGTATCTCCATCTAGGGAGGAGTTAGTTTCATGTACTTGATGCTTGGCATTTTAGCAGTATCCTGATAAAAGCTCACAATTTCTGTTTGAAAATAGATCCGTGGTTGCTGGAAAATTCTCCAACGTCCTAGAACCCTTCCGTCCCACTAACGAAGATCTTGACATCCTTTCTCACGTTCTCGAGTTCTAGGTTCTTTTTATCATCATCACAACTCGTTACGTCTAGGTCTTGTATATCGGGTGCATGAAAAACACTATTGATATAAAGATCTGTAACTCGATAATTGTTGACGTTAAGATTGTAATTTGGGAGGGACGGAAGTTTCTTTTTGAAGTATATAATATTTACATATGAGATATTAAACTCTCTCACACATGAGACTTTGAACCCCAGAACTTTAGGGAAGGTGGGGGTTATTGCTGACAGATGCATGAATTGTGCAGGATGGTAATAGTGATGGTAACAGTGATTATCAACAATGTAATAGGTGATGATGATGAAAGATTACCCGGGTTCCGGTTTGACTTTTTCGATTCTCGCCGGTTTATGTCATGATGGGTAGGGTTGTGGGGAAAACCGTAGTTGAAGATTCTTAAAAATTATGGTCCACCTTTTGTTTTGAGATGTGATCAAAGTAACAACCCCTTCAGGAAAGTTGATTAATCTTATGGGAGCTGAACAAACTAATCAGGAAAATCTCCGGTGGTCTGGGCGTATGGTGAAGTTTATCAGTCTTTGTTTATCAGTTGAGCTAGCCGTCAAGGTGGATCTAGACATCTGATTTTGGCAAAATACTTCAATGCACCACTTAGAAAAATAGAGATTTTTTTAATCGTAGGTATTCGGGTCAGCTTGTTGCATCTTGACTGATTCTATGGAGCTTTGAATTTAGCAATCAAAC